TCGAGCCTAACAATCAGCCTGACGATGCTTCGGATCGGAACAAAGAAAGCAAGGAAACACAAATAAGCGTCGAGTTGAAGGTGCCGGCCTGACGAGCTGGCCTTTCTGATGCATTTTTGGTCCACGTCACTGTGCAGGAGTATCATCTCTCAATTTGCGACGGTAGTGAAGTACCGGTGGGCGCGCCCACCACAATGCACCGCACTTTTTTTTTTTTGATTGAAATGTTTTGATCCGGAGACTAAAGTTTAGTCCGTGTCACGTCGTCGGACGTTCGGATGCTAGATGCTATCTAGGAGGACTAAACATGAACTGATTATAAAACTAAGGGAGTTGTTATATTTCAGTCGACTGAAATATACCATTTTTCCAGGCAACGTCTTAGGGCCATCAGATCTGGATCCAATGATCACATTCAAAGCTGGTTGTTTCTGTACACAGGCAATATTAATGGGTCCGCGAATCAAACCCGCCAAACCTTACCGGGTCCGCCAAACCTTAATGACGCATGATCCAATACCCGCTAATGAAGTTTGGTGCTCGATTGGGCTAGAATTGAACTATTGGCCCAATAAACACACTTTTTGAAGGGTTGCCCAAGAAACACACTTAACGTATCTATCTCAATCAGTAAACGAGTCTCTACCACAAATTAAAATTGACAGAGTACAAATTTTATTCCATCATTGCAAAAATAGACAATGAATATGGTCTTCAAAAGTTACAACACAAGAATATGAAAATTGCACGTTTCAAATAGTGCAAATACTATATATTGTTACTACAATTATATTGTATATGTATATAAACACAGAAGTGAAACTAATAACTAGTATTATAAATCCATCAAGCAACAAACTGTTCAAAATTACAATGGTCCAAACAGTAATGGCAGTTTATTTATAGATATCACATACACAGTTGGAACCATATATAAACGAGGAAACAGAGGGCATAACAGCCATCGAAACTCGAATCAGCATCATCCAATTGATGTCTCAAGGGGAATCCGAGTATGCTCATCATGTGCTAAGACCAATATTGCCAAATTAGAAATGAAAAGAACATAAAGACAGAGAATACGGGTAAACAACTCTCAATTCAACAATGTGATGAGACAAGTGAATCGGACACCAGTTGCAAGGATATGATATGAATACACGTCAGTCAGTGCTACATCGAGAAGATAACATCAACCATGCCAACCAATATCCAATTACCTTGCCGGTGCGACATCCTCGATAATGGAGATCAAATTGGTCCTCTTCTTTGCCATGTTGACAAGGTCTCTTCCACTCCTGTGGGAGAACTCAATTGCATACACCGGCCAATTCTGCAAGACTGCAAGAGTATCCAAACTCTTAAGACAACATACTACCATTGAACTAATACACAATCGACAATAGTAAGGACCATGCTACAGCAACTCTCCTCGGAGACATGTAAGCCATATTTTCTAATGGACCAAACCTGCTCACTTGCAAACATTAGCGATGCTGCTATAGCTTTTTGCCTCTATTTTACTGTAGCACTGAACTAGCAGCTACCTAATACAAGCACCAAAATCAGCGGTAGAAGATTGTAGCAGAGAGAAGGCTTGCTTGAGATCCATAGGATTCCACATTTCCACTTGTGGTAACCACTAATGAAATGAGTGCTTTGTTGGAGAAAGCAGTATAATTGGCGATCGGTTGAGTTAGATGGAAGCAGAAGCTACTACAAATAGCATCTCCACTTTAGATGAGGCGAGAGGCATCAAATAAGAACAATAAAAGGCAAACGCATAGTAATCTTGGTGCATATGGTGCAAAACATAGACCGATACTTACACTTGAGCTGAATGTCACAATTATCCTCTCTATGATATAAACAAAAATTCCTCCATCTTCTTCCCCACAGCTCAAGAGCAACCCACAAATTTTATAACAGCTTATACTAGGCATACGCTTGGTGCCTTGCTTTGCAAAAGGCAAGGATGTCAAATGAAACTATGCAATTGCCCAAATAGCATTGGGCCACATGTGTGTTGACACAAATAGTAAAGCAACACACTAATAAGTAGATTGCAGTGGAAGACATTCTCTGGCGAGAAATCTGCAATCGATTCACAATCAAAGTGCGTAGACCAAATTATTGCTACCTATCCGACAAAAGCAATAAGGAGAGAACATAATTCATACAACCATACATGCTTTGAACTGAACAAACAAGGAATGAAAAGAACCTAAAGTCTATAAAATCACAAAAGTTGAATGTGTAGAATGCCATGTTCAGCTCCCCTAGTCTAATGTTTTCAAGATAAACTAAAAAATGTCTACAGAAATGACTATGAAGGCAATCAAATATCTGAGTTTGACTATTACTTTGCCTTGAAATACTACTCTGAATTTTTTTATATACTTCTTAAAGCCGATTACATGATTTACTAAACAAGTAGAGTTTTCCTTGATAATTTGATTGACAAAATTTGTTTGCATGAAAAATTTATTTGCCAAAGATCACCATTTTACCTAATGATGGACAACTTTCTATATATATCTTCTAGTAATACAGTTTGCAAAATACTAGTTGATAGTTTAGACTTCACATGTAAAATATTGAATGAATCAGACTACTAGATTAATATTCACACCAAACTTTAGTAAGCCATCTAAGATAGATCATAATATAACATGTAAGGTACAATTTGTATAGCCATACATGCACATCAAGAAGCAAAAGCCAAGACTTACCCCAACGAGCAACTGCAACCACTTTAGCCCCTTCACATGCTTTTGGACAAAAGGGACCCCTTGTTCCAAAGAATCAACAAAACAACAAACAAAGACGTGTGTGTGTTGGCACAAATAACAAGAAACAAGCACTGCATGCAACAAGAACTCGAGATAGACGTAAGGTTTATCTATAGTTGTTAAACGCTTCTAGGGTTTGGGAGAGAGACAGAGAGAGAATGGTTGGTTGGGTGGGTGGGGAATAAGAGAACCAGACAGGATCTAGGTCCGAGCAATGGCAAAAAATCACAAAGAACACAATTACAAGGACAAAAATGTGGTCTATATTGGCACAAATCCCAATTAACAAATTATATTTTTTTCTATAGAAGGACAAAGTGTGTATTTAGAGAGAACATATCTTGACCATTGGTTGAGAAGTAGGGCTAGGCAATGCACTTGAGCACAACTCTTCCTTCACACAAAACTTGAACCCCTATCCTGAACAACCTCCCTGCTTTTGACATATGCGAACTTTTTTAGAAAAAGCCAAGATGCTAAAATAGGCTCAATTCAAGAAGCAGTTCGTGGACAATAATCAAGCGGTGAAGAAACACATGGTTGTTTCTAAAGATATTTAGGGCCAACACAAAACACAAATCAAAGAGGACAAATGAGAGGTGTGTGTTGACCCAAATTAAAAAAAAACACATTTGAATACGTTTTAGCACAGATCACAAGAGACAATTTTTTTCTATGGAAGGACAGATCACAATTTTTTCTATGGAAGCACAATCACAGATCACAAAAAACAATTTTTTCCTATGGAAGGACATATCACAACTTTTTTCTATGGAAGCACAATCGCATATATGTCTAATATTCTGAAAAACAATGAAAAATTTTCCAGTGATTATGCAACTAATCATGACTTCACTAAACATGGTTCCTATGCGTTAACTTATACATAGGAACCATGACTTCACTAAACGCCTTCTCACAATTTTCTAGAACAAGGCACTATAAACCATAGAACCAAAGTAGCAGGGCAATTTCAGTGCACAAGAATAACACTGGTTCTCTTACCCAACAGGCATACACAATTAGGCACCGATGAGATACAAAAACATCCTACCAAAACCTGTAATGTAACAAATTAGCTATGCACTACAAAGCCTTTAAACAAGCAGACCACTAGTTAGTCCTCACTCCTAGCTTGCTTAGAAATTGTAAGCATCCCACAAATATAGTTGACACAAGGAAGCAAAGCCCCACCTGTTAACTTGTTAATGCAATTATATTGTATTTTATGTTAAAAATTACAATACACAAATATGAAAATTGCACATTTCAAATAGTGCAAATAGTACTCGTTCTTAATGCAATTTTATTGTGTATGTATATAAATACAAAATCTGGCTCATGCGTGTGGAGCTTGCTGACAATACAGTTAACTTGTGCTACTGAACAAGTCTTTTGCAGACAGAGAGGGTGCATTAGTGGCAGCAAAAGCATATCAGATGTAATTTGCTGAATATTTAATACAAAAAATTAATAGGAAATGAAGTAGACATGCACAACACATGACAATTAGCAAGGATGACTTGTTTATCAGCATTAACAAAAATAGAATGACAAACTGAGACACAACCACAGAAACAAGGATGACTTTGTATAGTGCCAAAGTGTGTGTAAAGAAACCATCTATCTCTGAACTGCAAATGCCTTCTCCACTGGGAACAGCTAGTTGTGGTCTCCCCATACAATCAACACTTCTTGCACAATGCACGCACGACCATGACAAAAGTTTAGTCACAGTCTCACAGACAGAACGTCATCTGATAGCGAAGACAACCTATGTTTTAACAATACCTGAGATATTGGTGTCACTTGGAACTTCTATGTTTCAACCGTAATCCCCTTTAGGAGATCAATGCACGAGCATGACATAAGTCGTTGTTGTAGTAATCACCAATATGCATAGCTTCATCGGGTTGCACTCCTAATAACTTGCAGGCCTTCCAAGAATATTATAGGGTTTGGCTTTTCTGCTGTAACCTGGAAGTTGAGCGGCATCCAAGGAACTGAGTTTAAGAAAGCAATAATAGGAAAATCAATAGCTAAAGTTTAGAAACAAGCACATATAAATACAAGGACAGAGCTTAATTAGTAAGATTAGTTAAACAAGCCTATATAGTGAATATTCTGAATGGAAACCAACCTCAGCAGATCACAGGAGAACTCCATCAAACCAATGGCCACATTTCATTGCTTTGTAAAATACTAAAATTAGTCAAGATGAGTGTCAAAGTTGGACACAACAACTGTTCCAAAACTAGCCCTTTGCAATGCCTCAAAAACATGTCCAAAGATCGGATCACAGAGATGCCAAGCCTAGCAAACATATCACATTTTGTAAGATTAGCAAATATGTACCAAAATCAGACGGTCAAAAAGCATTTTGATTGCATATTGTATCTCACCTTTCCGGTTGTATAATACTTGATCAGTTCCTTAAAGTATTGTAGATCTAAGCAGCCGATAGATGCACTCACTATGTATCGCCAAAGGACTTTCATCATTGACATACCTAGACAACATAAAGCGAATTGAATGTAAATATTAGCTCTCAAGGTTGAATGACCTAAAAGTATATATGAAATATCCGGAGGGCTGCAAGGCTCCTGAGCACAACTCTTTCTAGTAGCATCACAAATCCAGTTTCATTCTTGAATTAAACTAGTTGGCAAAGAGACCAAATTTAGACATGACATTGTAATTTGCCAAAATTTTGGGTTTTTTCAGCACAACAAAGAACCGTCTTGTGATGGAAGTTCAAGACCATACAAAAGAAAAATTAAAACTCATCAAGTGATCGAATAACTCACTAAATCGTAACTAGTATCCGAATCAAATGAACAAAAAAAATGGAAGGCAAGCTATACATGAACTTGTAAATCAGCAAAAGCGAACTCCGTGTAACAACCAAAGAAAGCAACATAAATCTTGATAGTCCGACACTATCGAAATTCACAGGTAAAATGAAACCCTAAATCAAAGGGAATCTTTGAACTTAGTGGTAAGCAACACACAAATAGCAAATGAGAGCCGACCAAAACTTATGAGTCCAAAAGGAACAGGAAGGCTGAACCTCTCGGCGAAGAAAGCGTAAAATGAGAGCAGCACCTAAACAATTAGTAACTAATATTGTATAGCGAGATCATAGCCTCATAGGCCGAAATCACCCAATCTATCAACATACCCAAGAGCCTAACCACGCAATGTAGCCCACCAGGTGATAAGTAGCAAACAACACCACAACATATATGAGCTGAAACAAGTCGGAACCCATAGGCGCAGTAGGGCTAACAAATACAATATTACTGCAGGCTTAAGCTATGGGCACCAAATAGGAACATGTTGAGTATATCGGGAAAGAAAGCACAAGATCGAAAACAATGATGTAAATTATGCAAAGAAAACTAAACATGCCCACTTGACTTTTACTATCACCAAACAATTTTACCTTACATCCCATGAAGTGTGTGTATTTCTTAGGAATTTGATGTAAGCCCACATCAGGATCTGCAAAAACCACCATTTCAGTATGAGTGTAAGTAGAAGTACATAATTGCTTACTTGAAAGATGCAAATCCTATCAAGTTGTCCCTCCCGTCAAAACAAATCATTTAAAAAACAAATAGTTTGAGACTACACTAGACCTCCGATTATCAAATACAAACTAACAACAAGAACATTTCAGCATTAACAAGTGGTGGATCTCGACATTTCCTTCCGTCCACAAACATGAATGTTCATTCAAGCAAGCCATTTCTATAGGTCTTTAACTGGAAGCACTATTTCGGCATTTGAGATTTTGTGGCATAGGAAACTCACTCACTCTTGAGAGCAGCCAATAGTTGACAATTCAAAAATTTTAAAAGGTACAGTTTGTTAATGAATTAATCTTAAATTATTTCCTTCTGAACTATCCTTGAAGCCAATAAGACAATTGATCATTATAATGCATGGGTTAGTTGTTTAAGAATACTTTCAGTCTGCATTGCAAGTATATCTTGTAATTAAAAATAGCACCCGCAAGTCCAGTTTTATGATCTTTGGAATTTTATGCTCCTCACCGAAAGAAACTTGACTCGAAGACACAATTAGCAAATACATACAGAAAGTTTTTTAAAGTCTTCTATGAATGCAGATGGCGAGTCGATGCAGATGGTCATCAACTAAACAAAAAGGACAGATCGAGATGCAACCCACCAACCATGCATGTCGTGAGACTAGAGAGGAAGCAATGCAGGCTGCACGGGCTCCAAATAGATAACCAAGGGCCCATTCGCTAGCTTGCTTGCCCACCTCCCACAAGGCTCCTCTCGAGTCCTCACCTTCTCTCCCGGCGCTAGGTCACCGCATGTCTACATCCACCACCACCACCAGCTACCCCTCCTCTCTTTCCCTTCCCCATAGTCATCAAGACACCTCCAGACAGATCGAGATCCGGTGATTCCTGTGTCACCCCACAAGCACTGGCAATCAAATCGGTACATTAGTGGACACAACCATGCCTTCTTTGGATGCATTGCTTTGTGACCTTGGTGCGAGAGCCGGGCCCGAGTCCCAGAGGGCGCGAGAAGCATTGCAGAGTCACAGCACATCGGCTCCGCTCCCCACATCGGCACCAACTGTGAGCTCCGAGTCGACTCCCCTACCCCATTGATCCCCGTTACATCCCAAAATTCTCCACCCAAATCTCCATCCCTCTGTCCTCATCACATCTGATCCACAAAATCTACTCCAGATTGATCGAGTACACACCTTGGCAAACACTATGCAAAGAGGAAGTGGAAGTTCGGAGCAATCATCGCAATCATCGCAGCCGACGAAATCGCCTCCGATTTCTTCCCCGCCGCGATGCAGAATACAAACAGTGTCCGAAGCCACGACAGTGCGGCGTATTACGGGTGTCGGATAGCTTGGGTTGGGTGCTAACGGGTCGACATCATAATGGATCACAAATCCGCATACAATAAAGCCCATCAGCCAGACGTGAATCTTGAAGCTCGTGAACGGCAACGTCGCCTGAAGCAAAACATAATTTTCAGGCGACTACTATATAGGAAAAGTGTAAAACTAATTACATAGAAGTAGACTAATTAGCGAGACGAATCTATTAAGCCTAATTAATTTATGATTAGCATATGGTTACTGTAGCACCACGTTAACAAATCATGAACTAATTAGGTTTAATAGATTCGCCTCGTAAATTAGTCTCTGTCCGATGAGGAACCAAATAACTACCTGCGAGTTTTGGCCACGAATGTCATTGCCCGTCAGGTGCCGATGATTCCCGGCCAACCCCTACACTACGGATCTCCGCCTACCCTGGACAGCGTGGGACAGCACTTCCTCTCCGTTTCGCTGACTTAGTCTGTTCGCTTGATCGTATCAGCCATACTTATCAGTCATGATATAGTATTTTTCTCTTACAACAAAACAGCATCAGCAGACTTATAAGCCACATAAACGATCAAACGAACAGGTGCTGATCAGTGACTCAGTGTCAGCCGAAGCGAGTGGTGCGTCCGGGGGCGATGGCGAAGCCCACTTTGAGACCGTTCGTTGGTCTGGTTTCCAGACCAACCGGCTGTTTCCTCCTCACAACGGCACTATTCATCAACCATCCGCTACAGTATTTCTCTCTCACACAACCAGCCGCTACAGTGTTTTTGCTTCTTTTTCCCAGACAAGCGAACGGGGCCTTTGCCGCCGGCGGTTTTCCTCGGCGGTTGGGCGGTGGCCGCCCACAGGAGGGCTCTTCTTCTAAAGCGTGGAAGAAGACGGAGATACAGGGTGGGTGCGTGCGTAACATGTGGTGGTATCCAAACGCGTGCATATAGGTGCAATTGTCGGTCCTTTTCAATCAAGCAAAAAAAAGAAGAAGTGCGGTGCATTGCGGTGGGCGCGCCCACCGGTACATCACTACCGTCGCAAATTGAGAGATGATACTGCTGAGCAGTGACGTGGACCAAAAATGCATCAGAAAGGCCAGCTCGTCAGGGCGGCACCTTCGACTCGACGCTTATTTGTGGTTTTTTTGCTTCCTTTGTTCCGATCCGAATCATCGTCAGGCTGATTGTTAGGCTCGACATTTTTCGGCCGGCAAATCTAGTAGGTAGACGAAAAAAAATTGGGACTGGACAGCTTCTCCGTGCTGTATTCGGTATTTCAGTTGAGTGAACTTTTCGGACACTTCTCCAGAATACAAAAGACCAGTATATAGCATACATATAGGGCCTTTTAGTTACAAATGAAGTAGTGCTTCCAGTGCCATTGATTAAACCAAAATTTTCAGTGTTTTGACACAACAATATAAAGCGGAGTGACCAAGGGGAAAATAAAGGGCCTTACCTTGTTACAGTTGTTCCACTAGACCACTGCAAGTCCACAACTCGGTTTCCTGGTAGTGCTAGCATGACAAGCACCAAAACATAAGCTAAAAGGAAATTCACCATTCATTTTTTTAGAAGCAGCAGCAACATCTGAAGAGGGAGAACCTCATGGTACAGGAACAACAGAAGAAGGCCTTGTTTTAATGCACGTGTATCCACTTCAATCCACATGTGTTGAGGTGGATTGGAATGGAACTTAGTTTAATTTCACTTCAATCCACTTCAACGCATGTGGATCAAAATAAATACATTCAAACAAGGCCTAACGAAGATACATTCGCTTTACGACATCCTCAAACTTGCTGATGCACACGAGCTGCCATATAAATAGGCAGCTTATGCAGTTGGTTTACCAGTGTATATTGATGACCCGCTGTATTTTATCAAGGCTGGTGTCCTGGCGACCTTTACAGAACAGGACAAATGAAATCAGAACAACTCTCTCATACAAACAGGGGGGCAAATCAAGTCAAGCACCCTTAATGCAATACAACACCGGAACGTGGCATCCAGCAAATATTTTACTCCAGAACATTATGATTCCATTCCCAAAACTCAATATTTCTTGGCATGACTGTATAGTGTATATGCAACATCAGTGGAGCTGCTGTTGGCTCCGAGGATGTCTGAACGATCCGCTTGCGTAGAGCATCTGATAGACCGGCTTTATCCTCGATATGAAGAGCACGCTCAACAGGGTACCGCAGCAACATACAAGGGCACAGACATAGAAAGTCAATCTGAAACAATCAGGCCCATAGCAGTCGGAAGGCTCCAGCACACCTGGGTGCTGCCTTGCTGCCTCCTTGTCATAGACGTAGCCAGCAAGAAGAGCTGAGAAAAAGAATGCACCCAGTGGATTCACTAACAGCATGAAGTTGTACATTAGCCCGAAGTCCTTCAGCCCAAAAAGCTCCGAGACCGTTGGTATCATGACAGCAAATTGGACCCCGTAGCATATCCCCAGGAGAGTAGTTGAAACATAAATCAAGCTATGAAGACCAGTTGCGAAGAGCAGGAACGTTACCACCATGATTATTTGTGTGCACATCATCCAGAAAGGACGAGGGAGCATCCTTGACCTGCAGAATATCAGGTCTTAGCAGTCCTTTTTTCAGAAGTAGGCACTCCTTAATTTATATTTCTTAATCTTAGTAATATTACTAATTGGAGGCCTCAAATGGAGTCTCCGTGTTAATCCTCACAAAACACGCTACAAAAAAAAGATAAATACTAGAAAGTAACATGATAGCCAAAAACATCTGGACTGACTCTAATTGTCATCGCCAATAATAGCCTTTGGATCTATTCTCTTTCAAAAAATCACCCACCCCTACCATTATGAAAAATAAATAAAGTAATCCCCTAAATTTGCATTTAAATTGCCAGTCCCAACCATTATGAAAGATAATTTAAAACGAAGCCTAAATTTATCTTCCATATAAGAAAGACAATGCAAAGTAACCATAAATTTGCCCTTAAAATAACCACATCTTCCATTATAAGATATAATATAAAGTAACCCCTTTTTTGTATCTAAATTGTCCATCATTATAAAGAATAAACTAAATTTACGTCTAAATACCAATATAAGCTATTATGAAAAATAATTCAATAACCATAAAGGACGCCATATATGTTTCTAAATTAGACACTTAAAATCAAAGTAAACATAAATGCTACTCCCAAAGTCCATAAAAGAATGCAATTCTAGCACAATACCAAGTTAAAGTATTTTTAAGTTTGACTAACTATATACAAAAAATATCAATATTTATGATATCAAATAAGTATCATTAGATTTTTTATGAGATATTTCTATAGTATACCTATTTGGTGCCATAAACATTAATATTTTTTCCTATATATTTGATCAAACTTTTAACAAAGAAATGATTTAGAATTGCATTTTTTGGGGGGATGGAGGTAGTATGTCCCACCTTGTAAACCAAGTAAACATGCACACATTAGGATGGATATTTTTAGGGCTTGTTTGGCAGGCCTTATATCGGCCTTGACTCCATGCCACAGTGCCCGAAGGAGCCGGAGCTAGTGAAGCCAGCTCTATGGATTCATCAGCTTTTAGTTTATTTTGGGAAGAGAGAAAAAACACTCCACACTTCAGTGCAAAAGATTCCCTAAAAGCCAGAGCCATTTTGGGAAAAGCCCTCTGAAACAAGACCTTGTTTAAATAGTTTATCTATGTTCTCTTAACAAACCACATATCAATGCAATGAAAAATATGTTCCCTTAACAAACCAAATACCAATACCATAATTATTTTAACAGTTTATCGATTGTGAAAAATACATTCCCTTAGGCCTTGTTTGGATGTAGTCGGATTCACATCAATTCACATGTGTTGGGGTGGATTGGAGTGGAATATGAACAAAATCTCACCCCAATCCACCCCAACACGTGGATTGAGGTGAATCCGATAACATCCAAACAAGGCCTTAACAAATCATGTACCAATTAGGTAATTCATTAAAATTATATCGAAACTCTATGGCATCAAAATTTATGAAGTGTTGCTTTAGATAAATGTACACATTTTGATTTAAATATTATGGCATATTGATTTTTTTTTTATAAAACAACACTTGTACACGTAGTCACGTATAATTTTTTGATAGAGGACATTCACATGTTGAGTGTTGTGGTGTAGGCTGAGACAATTGTTTATGCCATCGTAGTAACTAAGAGTATAGTCTAGGACCAAGAATCTATTTTTCAATAAAATATAAAAAGGAAAATTTTGAATAGAAGAGAGTTTCAACTTAACACGTGGATGAAAACCTGCAACAACTAATAGGATCAAATGTTGAAAGCCAAAATATAGAGCCATGATGTCAAAAAAGAATGCAACAAGAGCTGATATAGCTTAACTAAAGTTTCAACTAAATACATATTAAAGATCCACAGAGGTGCAATGTAAAATATGACAACACATATAGAGTAATTGGTAAATTTATTGTAAGTTCATAAGTCATAACTTGATAGAGATTATAGAGTACCTATGTGTATTGTGTATTTGTGTTAGGAAAATGAATAGAGAGATAGAGAGTAAAGATAAGCAAATTTGATTGGTTGTAAGTATTAAAATTATTCACAAAACTTTTAATAATTATATATAACATAAGATTCTAGATGACTAAGTCCTCAAAACATATGCAAAGTAACAGGCGCGGTTAGAGATTGATGCCACTGGGAATTAGCTGCAATGTTCAGTAATGCTTGTTTGTTGTTTAGTAATATCAATATATCACAGTACTGTAGGAAGCAATCAGCTTTACTACTTCAGCTTTCAGCTTAAATAAGCTGGAATATAGTAAGTGATGCATTGAAGGCAAATTGTACAGATAAAGTTGTTGCGAGTAAATTAAATGTAGCTTACCTTACGAAATATTCAGAGACAGATCCACCAAGGATACGGCCAGCAAAGTTGCAGAAGCCAAAGAGGCACAACAAAATAGTTGTGTCATTAGCACCAACAGACATTCCAACCTGAGCCAGGTTGTTGAGAACAGTGACTCCTGTGCCAACTCCACAAAAGTAGACAACAAACAGTAGCCAGAAGTCCGCCTTTACTAAGGCTTCAAGGAATGTGAAATCATCCCCCCTTCTTGGCCCTCTTTTCTTTTTCAAATTCACTGCTCCCTCACCCTCAGCCAATAGAAGATCCAAATCAGTACTGTCATCAGATTCATTGGTACCTGTAGCAAGTGTTGTTGAGGCACTGCCCAGAAGTGGTTGTGAGTTCTCTGGATCCGCACCAGACAGACTATCAGTTGAATAAGATGGGGCAAGGGTGCTGGGCTTTTCCTTTGTTTGTTTGTTTGGATAAAGTGTCATCTTAATTGGTATTGCAAGTGGAGCAAGGAGCAAAAGTATCATTATACCAAACAAAAGATAGGTGACAGCCTGGCTTAGTTTTAAAGTATCACCAAGTATTGTAGCAACCATAAGGTATATTCCGAGAACCACACTTGAGATTTGTGTGTACATGAAATGGCTGTGTTCTGTTGAGTTGTCCTCATCCAGTGATGGAGTGCAAGGCCTAACAAAATACATCACCACAATACATGCTGTTGGGATCCCCAAGGCAAGCAACAGCAAAAGATTTGTGGGTGAATTCCCTAGCATTCCATTAAACGTTTCAGTGTAGACAGCAGCACTAACAGCAACATAACCCTTGATGAGACCAGCAACAGTGCCTCGGCTGAGAGGGAAATTCCTCATGTTGGTCACAAGAGCAGCAGTGCCCAACCATGCACTGCTGTTCGTGCCAATACATAAAGCTATCCACAACTGCAAACATACGATAAACTAGTCAAGGTACCAGAAAAAAGGGAAACGAAAAGAAGCTGACTCTTGTAAACAATCTGAAAAAAAATGCATACTGATGTTGAAACAAATGGCATAGTTTCACAAAAACTAAAGTTAAGAGATAAGTACTTTTTTGGGGATGTCAAGAGATAACTTCATTGGCAAAATCAAACAAAGATCGTCATGATAGGCCATATGGTGAGTATTAAGTCATGCATTATGAATCTCCGACTGATTTATGAGTTCTTTTGCTCTATTTTCTGTACTGGACACGACCAACAGGACATGTATGTGTCTTGCCCACCTAATTTACTAGTCCAGAGGTAAGCAGGGAGAATAGAAGTTCACATTGTCCAATTTTGGGTCCTTTTGAATGATAAACAAACCACAATCATTACAAGGAACTCCCAACATTCAAAATGAGATCATATTACCTTACTGAATGTTTCTTTGGCAGTTAATTTTTCAAGGAAGAAACCTACGTAGTACTATCAAATACATTTTGTTTTCTTTTAGTGAGAACGTCATGCGTGTATTTCACTAAGGAAACAAGACACCACAAGACAAACCCAGATGAATTAACAAACACATGAGCAAGTAGATGGAAGGGGCAGGAGGCGACCAGCTTACCGAGGACTAAGGAGACCACTCGGCAAAAAAATTGAGACCCATGACTTCAACATGCTCTATCATGGGAAGAAGTCCGACCATATACCATACCAGCTCCCTCCCAAAGCGCCACTACCGAACTTACTAGTTACTAGCACAGTCACCTAGACACACAGGGCAACACATAGAAACCAACCAAAGTGGCTCAAGCTCCAGCCACTGCATCAACCAAATTCCAAAGATCCACTGGTGCATAAGGGAGGTAGTCATAACAAAACCATGAGTAGTACTGTAATTGAATAGTGCTGACAACACAGCTTCTTAGCTGAAGCGGCGTAATACCATTCCCATCTTTCTTCTTTTTTTTTCTCGAACTACGCAGGAGAGCTATGTGTCATTTCATTAAGGTAGATAAAAAGGTAGTACACGAGTCTGGCAAGAACCTCCCTGAGTACAGCACACCCCACACGCAGACACAGAACTAGATTACAGCCACGCCAAGGACTAAAAAACAGACGACCAGAGCCTCATTGGAGCTTAAACTCCAGAGGTCAGCGACCTGGCCAGGAGATCACGGAGCTTAGAGGCACCCGCCATGCACCACAAACCACATTCCCATCTTTCTGTTAAATGCAAGCGGTATTTGATTATAAGATTATGGCTTCAGCTCCTAGTGGTCACAGTGTGACTCTACAGGATTATGGCTTTTTCATGAAAGTGAGTGGATTACATTTTCCCCCCAGAAAGAACAATATACAATAGCCTAACAACCACAATTTTATCTTCAGTCAGAGTAACTCATCAATACCTTTAATAGTTTCTGAGAAACAAACAATAAATTCCCAGTTAAGTATGTATAATTATACATCAACATTGGTTTTGGCTGATAATGCACCTTCTGTCCTAATTCAATTTTTTTTTTTTTGACAAACACTCCCCAATCATAGCATGATTCAGTACACATGGCATACACTCTAGAATGTGTTTCAGAGTTAGAGGCCAGCAATAACCATAGTTTTTGTATGAATAATTACAATGTGTAGTTTTACTAGGCTCATTAATCTTTTCTCAAGCTGTAAGTTCAAAACCTAAGTTGGGCTAAAGTATAAAAGTGCATTGCAGACAATCTACTAAAACATAGTAATTGAAGTCAGCTTCAGATCTTTGTGGTAATAGTTCAATTTACGACCTTACCGAAACACGGTACCAATAAAGGATTTTTTTTTTATTTATTTTTGCTTTGAAAGCGCTCTTAGTTCAGTTTGGTAGAACGTGGGTCTCCAAGACCCGATGTCGTAGGTTCAAATCCTACAGAGCGTGATTCCATATATCTTATGTCGAAACTAAAATAACTTAAAAAAACAAAGTAGAATTGCATCCCACTCATATAGTCACATCAGATCTTTGTGAATCAAACTACTGGGGGTGGGAATACATCACAAGGAATTGATCTCGAACACACAGGAGAGCTGCGTCTCATCGCTATATTAAGAGAAAGAAGCACAAGAGTACAGAGGTACAAGGCCGGCTGTGTATGCGACAAACATAAGGCACTAGAACTACCCATCCACAGGCAGCCATCAGTGTTCAAAGCAACAGGCACGCCAAAAGAAACAAAGGAATTGATGAATTCAACAAAATTAAATCCTGGATTTGCTACGTAGGTACACCAGTGAGGTCATTCCTTCCACTGGCAGAAAGGATTGGCCAAAGCACCAATAAGCGAGCTTATGACCAAAACATGAATTCAGTATGGTTGCAGTAAGGAAACTTTTCATATCATACTCAGCTTCAAGACACCTTGAAAAGGGAAAATATATAGCCACGTCAACATCAAGCACACAATTAAATAATTAATTTATACGCACCTACGGACACAATGATTTACTGAACTGAAACAACAATGCATAAGTTATCTCATTAAATTATACCAGCTATGCCCACGAAATTTGCTCCTCCAACATAATTGATGCTAGATTTGGTCGCAAAATTACCTAAAGAGGATAACAAGAATGGTAAAAACAGAAATCGGAATGTTTTAATCAACGCAACTAGACACTAGAGACTTGAAGGACAAATGCTATATAAAGGCCCCAAGCCTCGCATTAGCTCATTCATCACCCAGCACTTATACATCCATCGTGGTATGAAGCAGGGAGCAGGTGAAGCACACATGTCAGGGTTTATTGTGTGGTCGGCCACTGAAACCAAATTTCTTCCACTTGCAGAAATGATTTGGTCAGAGCATGCATGAATAAGCAACTTATGGACCAAAACCGGTATTCTAATAAAATGTAAATGACTGCAGCAAAGAAAGCCTTCGTATCATTTAACTTGAAAACAGGAAATATGTGTGGGTTTTATTGTCAATCATGCAATTAAAAAACATGCACGTGTGGAGTGTGGACACAATGATTCACTTGCTTGTGTGAAACAAAAAGGCATAAAATATCTCCCGAACGTATGACAGGCTAACACCATGGAATTGTTCAATGAACACGACTTTACACTACATTTGCTACCGAAATTGACAGCAAAAAGGATTTTAAAAAGCACTAAATAGATTTTGTTTTTAATCAAACTCGAAAATAGAAGGTTGAAGAGCTAACTAAGCCCCAACTAGCTCGTTCAGCCATTCCCAATGGCATCGAGGACTCGTCGAATCAAGCAAAACAATGACAAACAGCCCAAAATAGCATGCGAACCAAGCACACATGTCAACCCATATAGGGAAAAAGGGACGGGAGAACAGAGAGGCAGGGGAGCGTACCACCCAGTAAGGCATGGCGACGGTCTTGGTGACGGCGAGCCAGAGCGTGCCGAAGCCGAAGAAGGCGCAGGCGGAGCCGATGACGAGGATGAGCCAGGGCGGGAGGCGGTTGGCGAGCACCCCAGGGACGAGCCCCACGTTCTCGCCGACGTCGTTGCCGACGCCGAGCATGGTGAGCGCCTGCTGGTTGTACCCGAGCGCCTCCTTGATGGCGTGCGAGTAGAGCGGGAACACGTAGGCGCTCCCCGCCGCCACCTGCACCCACACCGCCGCCGCCAGCCCGACCCACGGCGGGCGGCTCCCCGCCTTCACCCGCCCCGGCCCCGGCCCTCCTCCTCCACCGCCCGCCATGCCGCCGCACTACCCCCCGATTCCCCCTCCGCCCTCCTCCTGTCTTCTCCACCTAGCGGCGGCGGGTGCTGCTGACTGGTGACTGGCGAGGTCAGGTGCGTGGCAGTGGCAGACCACAGACCGCAGACGACAGCAGTGCGCGCGCGGGCGTGGGTCGGCTACAGCCTACAAGCTACAGCGGCGGTATGGCTTCCTCAGTGCCTTCGCCGCATTTGCCTGGTGGCTGGGCTCGCTGCGTCAGCGGAATATAAGAGGCCCGGCGTGGACTAGTCGTATAGCCTTCCAAGGAGAGGAATTCTGGACGTGTTTTTCGTTCGGTGTTGGGCTGTTGGCCGTGAGAAGGACCTTTGGCTGTTCCTGTGATCCTGTCATCAAAAACTCGGCTAAAGGGAAGTTTGGACGCACCCTATATATCTATAAGTACTCGTACATTGCGCGATCTACCACTGTGCTTATAGGTTGATATAACATAAAAGTGGATCAATAGCTTTCTTTACACCCCATTTTGATATTGGCATTCAGCATGGAATTGAGGAATATCTACAATACCACGTGTTTGGATGTTTTGGAATTAGATCTTGGAATTTGACTACCAATTCCAAACGGTATTCTCACAACACAAAACAAGCAACCTCCAATACGAACCTGTGATGCTCGGTTTTTGCTGGAATCGATGTCGCCTCGTCCCACGGGTGTCAAGGGGGTAGAGCTTACCGACGACGGAGGGGCGGAGCTTGCCGGTGCGTGAGGGGACGGAGCTCGTCGACGCGGAGCGGGCGGAGTTCGCCGGCGCGGAGAGGGCGAAGCTTGCCGGTGCGCGAAGGGCGCGGAGGGGGTGGAGCTTGCTGGCGCACAAAGGGGCGGAGAGGGCGGAGCTTGATGGCGCAGAGAGGGCGGCGGTCGCCGGCGCATGGAGATGGGGCAGGGGTCGTCGGTGCGGAGGGGGCAGGTGTTGCCGGTACATGGTGGGGGTGGGGCTGGGTCGAAGGGGCCAGCACCGGCTAAGGAGTAAGGAGAAGACGAGGTACATATGCAATTTCTGATTTCTGGGTCCAATTTGAAGACATCCAAACACATACGGTTTGAATTGCAGTCCAATACCATTTCAGCATGTCATGGGTTTGGAAACGCAATTTTATTGACTCAATTCCATTTCCAACATCCAAATGGAGCCTTATTTAAATTAGATAACCGAATAGATAAAAATAAACTATAAATTGAACTATAAGCTGGGTTGTTTGGAACAACTATGCTTCATTAATGTCAGATACACTCTTTAAAAAAATATAAAATGGATCATCACAACAAGCCAACTTGTGAGGTGTGTGACATATGGAAGCTATACAAACAGCAGAGCCAAATATTCTCTTGATAAGTTTTGACAAGCTGTGAAAACATCAAACACGCCCTCATTATTTTATGGGCGTGTGATAGGGGCACACTCGCCTGTGTGAGGTGCACCTGCGGTGAATTTGTGTACGTAAGCATGCATCGCCTTCTAGTATAACAAGCAAATAAGTAAACTGTTGTCTAGCTTTTTTTTCGTTTTATTGTTCTTTTAACAAAAAAAAAAGAAAAGAAAAACCCTTCACGAGAACAACTAATGAAAAGGCTGTTGGTAGTGTGGCAAGCATATGGTCCGGTGTTATTAGCACGGACAAAAGATCCAATGCCCTTTGCCGAATATGCCTACTTTTGGGGGATAATCTTCGATGACAAATCATTGTACTCCTGCTAAAGCGACACTTCTACTAGTTGTTCTCAAATCATTGTACTCTCGTCTCCTCTCTGATCGGACATGTGTCTCAATTATTCTGCGCCGACGTGTCTGCGTGACACCGCACATTATTTTTTCTTAATAAGAAAAGAAAAAGTTCCGGCCTCTGCGTGACACGGCACATGGAAGAGCTGTCGATTAGTTTTGTCCAGGCATAATAGCGCTGTGTGCTCACTAGATTATTCGTATCATCACGACGTCGGGTGGCAGAGTCGCGCCGGAGATTTCGCCATCTTTTTTCTGCCCGTTTCGTGCGCGGGTGGTGCCTGTCTCAATGCATTGATGAGGATGAGTGGTTTTAATAGTAAAGAGATTTCTACAAGTAAGCAGAGCCGGGGAGATGCTGACACTTGCGAGGTGACCCGGACGGCCGTTCAAAGACCATCATTCATTCAGGTTCAGGGGGGTTCCCGGAATCCCGGGTGATAAGGGGCCGCGACAACTGATCGGATTATGACGGGAAGATCAGTGGCTGCTAGCGGAATCGCTGATGATCGACCCAGCAATCGATCCTGGGGAAGTTCAATGTACCGCCTTCTGGTCTAGCGATAGTCATTTCCTGTTTCGCTGTCAGCTAGACTGTCCACTGACAAAACGTCTCCTGGTTCTGGCCTTCCGGCCGGGAACCTGTTCACGTAACTTCTCTTTTTTATGTGGAGGGATGTTTATAGATTATAGGACCTCCGTCATGTTCAAATCGTGACGTAGCCAATGTATACCTTCTCCGCTTCGTCTACCGGGTCGCGCGAGAAAATTTTGTCGACACGTACTTCCAACATCCTCGTCTCCAGTTCAGAGTTGTGACCCCCCGTCCCCGCCTCCACCTGATCGTGCGCGTGGCCTCCCGACTCCTCTTCTGTCGGCCATTGCCTCGGCAGTCGGCGCCCCAACAGGCAGATACAGTCTGTAAAGTTTTGATGTCATAGGGTATTCGGATACTAATAAAAAAATAAATTACATAATCCATCATTAAATCATGGGATGAATTTATTAAGCATAATTAATCCGTCATTACCACATGTGTGTACTGTAGCACTTTATTATCAAATTATAGACTAATTAGAGCTTAAAAGATTCGTCTCGCAAATTAATCGTAAAACTGTATAATTAATTATTTTTTAATCTATATTTAATATTTTATACATGTGTTAAATATTTGATTTGATGTGATGTAAAGTTTCAGAACAAAGGCTGCACGAGCCATGAGGTACTGCAGGAGACCAGGAGTAAAACCGGACAAAAACGGTCCTCCCTGCCGACACGGACAAAAACGGCGCAAACAAATTCACAAAGAGGGGGCTAGTACTAGTAGTGACGTCTCACTTGCCACGGTAAAGGATACGCATCGTGTTTGGTTGACTGGTATATTTCGTTGCTGGTTTATCTGGTTGGTTTGTGTGAGAGAAAAATACTGTTCTAAAAATTTACGATCGTTTACGACAAGCCACGGTCAAACGAACATGCTGATAGACGGACGATGATGCCTCCCGAAGTCGCGGAGCTTTCACGACGCGTCGCGATCGATCAGTCGGTCCCTCTCCGTTCCGCCGCGAATCGGAAGCGGTGGTTGGCAGCAAGAAAAAGATGCGAACAACAACAAACTAGTAATGGGCTGCCTCGCTCGCTCGTCGTCCCGTTTAGCTGCCCAGCTCCCATTTCCCAATTGGTTGGTGTACTGATTCGGATCGCCGGATCGGCCCGCGAACTCGTCGTCTTCGGCTCTTGGTCGTCGCACGCGCGCACACGCGACGCGTCAGCCGGTGGTGGTATATCCATATTCCATCCCCTCGCGCGCGCGGCGCCACAGGGCTAAAAAGCGTCCTTTCCGAGGCGCTAAAGGCCGTTTTGGTCTTTGTTTGCCCCTTGCCTGGGCACTGGGCAGACGATCGATCTCATCTCGATCGGTCCGTGGAGACGGAGATCATCGATCTAGCAGTTCAATTCAATCATGCACCTAACCGGAGGCAATGAAGGCGTGAATGGCATCCAATGATTCCAGGAGGACCGGCCGGACTGCGCCGCGCGCCCTGGCGTGGTCTTATCGTTTCCCACGCACGTGCATGCGTGCTGAATGCCTGGACGTACGGCGAGTGGCATGCATGCCATTGCCATCAAGGACGGAGGGAACCAGACCAGAATTTTTTTTTTTTTAACATTTTTGTAAACTAATTTTAAATTTAAAATAGTTTTTTTTAAAACTAATATTTTTTGCCGCGCCTATTGCCATGGCGTGGCGAAACGCCTGTGCCACGCCATGCATGGTGGCGCGGCGGGTGGATAACATGGCGACGACCGGAAATGCGACCCGGTGGCGTGCGCGTGGCTTGCCGCGCCATCGATCTTGAGTGCGGCGGCGACGCTACCTCGATCGGTGGCGGCGAGAACCGAATAAAAGCGCCACGACCCGATCCGCTTCCGCGCCACACACCTGCAGCCTCACATCGCCCACACGCCACCATACCGCCCATGCCGAAAGCACGCAAGCATGCCACGGTCATTCCTCACGCCTACCGCCACGTCGCCGCGCCCCTCCACCATGCATGCGGTGGGTTGCCCATCGAGGTTGGCGCGCCTCCGCCTCCGGCCTAGCAGCGCCACCGCCACCGGCCATGAGAGCCTTGCATGCCACGCCGCCAGAGTACTCTCCTAGGGTATTTGTTGATTGAATCGACATTGTTAGTATAGTAAGTTAGTAAAATAAATAAAGTTAGTATAATTAGTAAAGTATAGTTAGTAAAGTTAGTTTAGTTAGTATAGGTAATATAGTAAGTTAGTATAGATAGTAAAGTTAGGTAGTTTAGTTACTACAATTAGTACAGTTAGTGAGTTTAGAAATACATTGTATTTAGTCTAATTAGTTGTTGTAGTTAGGCTTGTATAAATGTTAATATTAAATTAGTTAGTACAATTATAGTTAGAAAATGTATTAATATTACTATAGACATTACGTACGACGATTTTGACGACTTGATGAACTTTTTTGAAATGCTTTTGCAGATGGATTGTTGTGTTAAAGTTTTTTTACGGAGAAAGTGTTAGGAGAGAAGATGGTATGTTTGAGAATATGGAAGAAGAATTAGAATGGATTGATGAATCTCCTAGCTTCAACGATCTTTGTGTCCGTTTCAATGCAAAGTTTGACGGTGATTTCACACTGAAGGGAATGTTTGATACTGGGAAGACTAGGGCACACTATGTCCTCATGCCCTTGCACGATCCTACT